AATAACGAAATCGTTTCAATGATTATATTTACTAACGTTGTTGTCGTTTCGTTGCAACGATAATTCAAAGATTCATGTCACTATTTTATCATCTTCATCTTCATCATCATCATCCCTCATCCACCTCCTACTCAACATCTTTTCACGGTTTAAATTGTTAATCAATTATTTTACGAAATTTATTGTAAATTGTTAAACTAAACATGTTTAAGGTGCATCATTGATAATTGTTGATGATTAGTTAAAACCATTTACAGTTGATGATTAAACAAAAAAGTAGCATTATTTTTATTAGCTGATAATTAGTTGATTGTTTCGTGATCGGGAAGTGGATTAGTTTTAAACAAGTTACTCTTTGATTGGATTGGGATTAGATTATCATGATTAGACCAACGAATTAGTTTAAAGTTAAATTTTCCATCTTCCAATTAAACTGGTTAACCTTTTCAATCGTTATTAGTTTTAATTGTTAACAAAATTAAAAGTTATTATGGTTCAATGATGAAAATAGTTACTTTTTTTCCGTTGATTAAATTGGATCACCTTTAATCAACATAAATCAGTTTATTAATCATTATCTTGATCATCAACTACTTACTGATTCGTTGGTTATAATTAACGAACCATCATTACAATTAAAAATCGTGGTTAACCTTTGGGCTGAGATAAGTTTTTAAGTTAGTTATCAAAAAACGCAATTTAAAACTTTCCAACAATTAAATCAACAATTGACCACGAAATTTAGTTAATTAATAATATACATTCACGTTGATTGTGAAAAGCAAAAAAAAATTTAATTTCTGGTCAACAACAATCTAAACAATTAAGAGTTGTAATGAATAATATCATTGATTATCTTCAATGGTGATGATTCAAATTCAATGATAAAGTTAATTGTTGATCAAATGATGATAAAAACACAAAGTTAATCAAATTAACTCCTACAAACGAAACTCATGTTTACTCAATAATCAACCATGAGCCTCATGATTAAATATTCATTTACAATTATGTCCACCCTCATGAATAATCAGCTAATCATCATAAACAATCAACTAAACATCAGACTAATTCAAGCAGCTTATTAACTTATCCTCCTTCACCTCAGCCTCTTTAATGTATCACCATTGAGGATAAACATGATTCCCACTGCGGTGTAACTCACGATTCATTCAAATTTAAGTCTACAATCAGTTAATTGTTACAATTGTTGTGCAAAAAATTTCATGTAAGTTTGATGCTGAAAAAACAACTAACCAAAAAATTAACTAGACTATGAAAAATAAGCTACAATTTATCACCACCATTAAGTTGATTAACTTGATGAAAGTGTTATACTTGTTAATAATAGGATTATAATTAATTTGACAATTAAACCACGTTTGTTAACTGTTGTAATAATTTGTTTTATTTGAATAATTAATAATCAACGAAACAAAAATTGTTTAGCTAATATTAAATTGTTGTTGTTTGTTAATCGTGATCAAGTTATTATATTTATATATTTAATCATTGTTGATGATTATGATGATGATATTAGTTAATCAAGCAATATAATAATCAATTTAATAACAATCTGATAACAATTTAATAAAATAATAGCTGTTTAGTTGATAACAATTAACAAGAAATTTTCAATCAGTTTCAAATAATTAACGTTAATTTTTTGGGCTAAAAGTTTGAATTTTTTTTCATTACTTTCCCTGATTATTATTGGAATAATTAACTAATTTTGTTTACAATTTATTAATATTTATATACTTTAATCAACAATTCTAATTATAAATCATCATTTTGATGAGCTCAAAAAATAACAATTAACTTTTTCTAGATTGTAGTTGCTCAATTGGGATTGAAACTGGATTAACTTTTGATAATAAATCCTTAATTTTGAAGGTAATTATTAATATTTTGTAAATCATTAATTGGGAGGCTCATTGATGACATGATTAATTAAGATTTTAAATTGTTACAACCGTTATTAAACTTCAGCCTACACATAAACTCATTGATTTGATCACAATCAGTGGTTATTATTATTGATAATTAACTTAATCATTTGTTAATGTTATCAATACTTATCAAGCCTTAGGTGTTTGCTAGTAAATAACAATTATATCAATAGTCAACAATTAATCAGCCTCCAGATGACATTTAAACTGTTGATTGACAATTAAATGAGTGTAAACAAGTAAGCAATTAAATCATTTTGTTACAATTAGTGTGATAGCCGTTCTTGTGATCAATTGATTATTTCAAAAATTTAGTAGTTTCGATTGGAAAATCTGACTTAATTAAATCAGGTATTTAATAATTAATTGTTCCTAATTATTAACTGTTGATTTGAAACTTTTAATTGCTGATTCGTGAAAATTGTTTAAAGCTTAAATTAGCATCTTGTTGATTGGTTTTGGTTCATAATCAACCATTTAACTTGCAAAATTTGGTTTTCCTAATCAACTGAATTGATTATCAATTAATTGTGTTTATAGTTTAAACTAGAGGATTAAAATTAATCAAAATTGATTGTAATAAAACTGTCAACAATGTTAAATTGGTTCATTTAAATTGAATGGATTAGTTAATTAAATGAGTTTCAATCAGCTGAAAAATCAAATATTGGTCGTGATGATTAGTTAAACATATCAATTTGATGACAATCAATTAGATTATGATGTGAAAGTTGATTTATCTTTTCAAAAAAAAGTAATTAGTGATCAAAATTCAGTGATTAACAATGAGCAATCAACTTAATCAATTATAAAGTTGATCATTACAAATAAATCACTTTTAAGATAAAAATAGTTTCTCAATTCAGTGATTAGTTTAATTGTTTAATGATTAAACTTGCTAATCATTTGGGCTCATCTTTTTTGTTTGTCCTAATTAAGTTCACTGAGGTTTTTGATTCTGTTAATTAGCTAACTGTTAATTGCTCAGGTGAAAGGCCAAGTTGATTATAAGAGCGAGGAGAAACAATAATTTTCAATCAAACAAATCATTCAGAGGGAAAATAAAAAAAACAATCAAGTTAATTACGCTTTGGGCTATTTTATCATGATGATGATTAAGATTGTGAGGTAATTGTTGATAATAATCAGGTTAATCATCTTTACCTACTTGCCCTCTCATTGAAACAATCATGATGATGGTCAAGCAATGGTTGAAACAACAACAATAATACAAAACCCTAATCAAATTAATTGTAAGAAAAACAATCAATTGATTGTTGTTCAAAATTCAATCAATCAAATTGTTCAACATAATCTAATAAACTTAAATCACTTAAATTGATTGTATCAACAATATTTACAAAGTAATTAGCTATTAGACCTATCAGAATGTCCCCCTTTTAATTGAGACAATTAAACAGTTTCTCTGTAATTAACTGATTAGTTTTTAATTCTGATGATTTAAAATCTTAATCATGATTAAGATGATGTGATTGTGATTGATGAGATGTGAAAAATTTAACTGTTTGTTTATCAAAATCAATGGTTCAATGAATTGAATCTTTGAATTATTATTGAACGGCAATTATCAACAATTAAGCTACAATTTAGTTGCAAGGTTAATTGATCCATATCACTATTTAAATATTCAAGTTTAATAAGTAAACAGGAAGATGATTAACAATCAAGATAATTGTTATAACTTTTCAAGAAAAAACTTCCGATGATGATAATGATTATTTTATCATGCTTATTGAAATGATCAAGTTAATTGTTGGTATAAGTCTAGACTATTTTAGTTAATTATTACGATTGGCAGTCTAAATTATTATCATTAAAACTGATTGTAAATATGGAATTAAATTATCACTACAATTAGTAAATAGTTTCATCATCAAAGTAAAAAAACTTTTTTAGAACTTTTTGAAAAAATTTCGATATTCAGTCGTCATGATGAAGAGCTTTGATTATCAATCACAATTTAATTTAAATCAATTTCTTTCATACGATTTAAAGATGAAAGGACCTTCAATTGTTTGGGTTAATTGTTGGTTCTATTGGTTTGATTGCTCTAGATAATAACATTGTAAGATAAATGGGTCAGCGAATGGTAAATGATTAGATGACCAGAACAAAAGAAACACCTTAGTACCGTTATCTTCATTTCCATTAGCACCTTACCCTTTTTTACCTTTGGTGCCAAATTTTTCATTCTTTTCCTCATTAACTCAACTAAATCAACTAATAGCATTTAAATCAACCATCCAAATTAAGGTTCCTCTCATTAGTAATCAACAATCAAGATCAACAATCAAGGTGATCCTCATTGATTGTTGTGATACTATTATATCTTCATCGTTTTTTTTCATCATCTAATTCCCTTGATTGTTGATCATCACTCAATTATAACCCATTGCTGTTATTGTCTTCATTGATTCAATCAATTTGACCTATTTAATTGCTGTGAATTAAAGTTTATCCCAACAATTTAAACAAACAATCAGTGAAATAAATTGATTACTTTGTCTTGAAACTTTTCTTAGTATCTTATTTGATGGATTTGCATTTTTTGTATGATCATCAGACTTGATTTAATTTGACAATTAGAGCTTATTATTGTGTCAAGGAAGAGGCTAATCATCATTTGATTATGATTAATTTGCTAGCAATCAAGAGGCAGTTAGTTTTTTATATTAACAACTTTAAATTTTGATTAATTGATTAACCGATGAAATTTAGAGTAACTTTTTTTACGTATTCAACTTAAATTGAAAATTTTGATAGTGATTATGTTCATCATTTGATTGATTAAAATCAATCCAATAGTTTACAATCTAGACGATTAAGACCTTTAATCGTTGCAATGGTAGATGTTTAACTATCTTGACTCACAATTTGATGGAATGTGATTAAGAATATGTAAAAGTATTGAGATGATTTAATTAGTATCCACTATCAAAATTAAGGTAAAAAGTGTTGTTTGATAATTGAGTAAAAATCAGTCTTAATCATCATTGAAGTTTCGGTGATAATCAAAAATTAACTCACCTATTGAAAGTAAACCATTTTATCAATTGATGGAATGACAAAGATTAAATTAACAATAAATCACTTTGTTAATTGTTTAGTTAAATCCAAGTTAATTAGCCAATTTATAGCACTTGTAATGTCAAGAGTGGTAATCAAATGAAAGGATTAACTTTAATTTTTAACAGGGATAATCTAAACAATCAAATTCGAGAAAGGAAATGATTAAAATGTTTAAAGTTGGAAGGAACTTGAAGTATCCCAATTTTGATAGACACAATTAACTGATAGTTGTTAAATTTTTCGCTGTTGATTTGATGATTTAAACTAAATCAACAGTGGATTCGCACACTGGTGATAAACTTTTGATGTTCAATTATGTGAACAGATGATGAGGGTGATGAAGATTAAGATGAAATGATGAGGATAACGAGTTGGATGTTCAGTTACCGAAATCAAAGTAACAGCTTCTTCATGTTTCTCAGGTGAAGTCTCTCTCATGGATCAGTGAAAAGCGGGTGAGATGAAGATGAGAGAGAGAGAAAGATGATAATGATGATGGAACAAAATCATCATCACAAAGAGAGAAGAAGAAAAAAAACCTGATTTATCTTCATCTTCTCCTTCAACACAACAATTTGTTTCTTCCTTTTCTATTTTAAATGAGATATAATTTACGATGAATTTAATTCATGATAATTCAAAGAATAGAAAAAGAAATTTCTAAGAAAATTCAGAAAAAAAAGTTTCTTGGTATTTCAATTCAGTGATAATTACAAGAAAACCTCTATCGGAAGTTGAAATTTATCAATTTTTCTCTTCTATTAATAATATAGTTACAATACTTTAATTAGAAAATAATTAAATTGTTTCATCTCAAAACTTTAGAAAAAGTAATTTGAATTTACCGCTTATCTAATTGATGTTTTCTTTTGACGTTTCCAATGGTTACCAACTCATGTTTCCAATAAATTGTTTGTTTTTAATTTGAATTAATTGTTGATTTAATTTAAATTGTTGATTTTCCGATGAGATGCCTTTAAATTGTTCTCGTTGTAAAGAGGCAAAGGCCATATTGAAACGACCGAAAACTGTGAGTATCTTAATTTTTTGTTCGCAAATTGATTTGGTTAATTTTTGTTTCTGGTTTTAGAATTTTTTTTTCTTAATTGTTTCTTGTTTTTTTCTCTCTATTTTCTTCAACAGCGCGATGCATTATGTAAAGAGTGTTTCTATTATTGTTTCGAATCAGAGATTCACAATACAATTATTGAAGGCAATTTATTCAAGCGAGGAGATAAGGTAGCTATTGGAGCCAGTGGTGGTAAAGATTCAACAGTTTTAGCATATATTATGAAGCTATTGAATGAGAGACATGATTATGGTTTAAATTTGGTTTTGTTATCAATTGATGAAGGTATTACTGGTTATCGTGACGATTCATTGGAAACTGTTAAGCAAAATCAGAGAGATTATGCTTTACCTTTGACAATTCTTTCATATAAAGATCTTTATGGTTGGTCAATGGATGATATCGTTAAACAGATTGGCCGAAAAAATAATTGTACCTTTTGTGGTGTTTTCCGACGTCAGGCTCTTGATCGTGGAGCCTTAAAGTTAAACTGTAATGTGATTGTAACAGGTCACAATGCCGATGATATTGCTGAAACTATTTTAATGAATGTCCTTCGAGGTGATATCGCACGATTGAAACGTTGCACCGCAATTAAGACTGGATCTGGAGAAAATTCTGAAGAAAATGTGATACCAAGATGTAAACCTTTTAAATACACTTATGAAAAGGAAATTGTTATGTATGCTTATTTTAAGAAGCTTCATTACTTTTCCACTGAGTGTATTTATGCCCCTAATGCTTATCGAGGCCATGTAAGAAGTTACCTTAAAGATTTGGAGTCTGTTCGATCATCGGCCATTTTGGATATAATTCATTCAGGGGAAGTTCTTGCAGTCGATGAAGGGATAAGATTACCTATTCAAGGAACATGTGAAAGATGTTCTTACATCTCAAGTCAGCGAATTTGTAAAGCCTGTGTAATGTTGGAAGGTTTAAGAAAAGGATTACCCAGATTAGGAATAGTTAAAAGTAGTAAGGTAAAAATGATAAAAAGATTGGAACCAGATGAAACTAAATCGAAACAATCAAAGTGTGGCTCATGTAATTGTACAAATGACAAACCTATCGAACTAAATTAGAAATTTTCCAACTCTTGGTTAATTTCTTTAATCCAAATGTAAACTATGTAATTCTTTAAGCAAATTTTGCCGTGGAGTTTTTTTTTAATTCATTCTGTTTGACAGTTTGATATATTTCAAAGTAACTTTTTAATTGTCTCGAAAAATCAGTAATTCTGAATACATGATGAAGCGAAGCTGTTGATGGATTTTTGGAGATGCATCCACATCGATTGGTCAGTTGGTACAATCATGAATACAATTAACCATCGAAACATAATTTAACACAATAGTTTTTCCAATGGTGATGATTTAGATCTCTTGAAGATTTCACTTGCAATATCCAAGAGTGTGTAATCCAAGTAAACCACTTCGTCCCTGCGGATAACAATTTAAATGCAACATAAATGATTTGATATATTGAAATTGATCTGATGTCTAACAACTTACCCTTTGTGTGGTGATAAATCAAAAGCTTTTGGGTGTTTTTTGATGAAATTAATGGCACAAGGAGCTAACCATGGTTTCGTTTCATTTACATAATTAATGACAATGGAAGTAAAATCTTGTTCTAAATCTTTGGTATAAAGGTCGTACGCTTTGAATGCATTTTTAATGAAAAAGGCATCAGATGAAACGATTGTAACAATTAAAATGGTGTAACAATTGAATAGAAGCATTTTTTGTGTTTCTATTTCCAATAAGTGACACTCACACAAGAACTAAAACTCAATGAAAAAGTTGAACTGATTTTCCAAGTGTAAACTCCAATACAATTTTAACTTAATTTCTTAAAACCAATTTAATCTTTTCAACTCTCATTGGCTATCATTGATAAGCCTGCAGGGTTTAGTTTTCCTAAGTATGGATATAAACCACTAATCGGACGGAAATCGATGTGATTAAAAGCCAGTGGTTTTGTGACTCACACTTGATTGTTGATCTTAAATTGCAAAGTTGTTGACTATCAACGTATCTTGTTGATTTGATCGCGTTAAAAATCTTGCAAGAAAAGGCATCAAAATACATTGGAATGGGAATTATTTTATTGGTGATGAGGAAAATTAAATCAAAGTCACGATAAAATGTCATACAAAATGAAGGATTATTATTGATTATCATTGAAAATGGATGATAAATGTTCAAATGAGCGGTTGAGGTGGACTTTCATTTAGGTACCAACGCGGGATAAATGCTTCAATTGGTAACTGGGTTTGAGTAAAGGTTATATCAAGACCTGGAGAGCAATAAATACGATAAATGACCTTTTCTTGGATGACACATTGTTTGGCACATGTAAGGAAAGAATCAAGGAAATTAAGGCAAACATGAGGTGACCAGTGAATTCGTTCATTGGCAAGTTTTTTAACCGGAATTCTTTCAACATTACGAACAAATTGATCTGAATCACGATAACCACAAAGTATCGAATCAACAGCACCAAGATGAGACTGAGTCCACCATTTAATGGCCTTAAATCGATAAAAAGTTTCCCTTTGACGAGCTGAGTGAATGGTACCAGTGGTTTTTACCTCAATAAACCGAAGCTTATCCAATGGATCAGTCAGGTGAGTTTTCCCTTCAATACAATCCATTTCAGCGGCATAAACAAGTGAATGGGACTTTAAACGTGACCTTAAGATGCAACAAAATTGACCAGTGTCACCAGAACCAAGCTGAGAATCACCTCCACCGGCCACCTCATTGAACTCACTACAAACCATGTCCTCGAAAGAGTGACCACAATAGCTAAGTAGATTACATATTTCCGGTTGATTTTGATCAGAATCTTCTTTGGCATCGGTTCGAAGTTGATGGAAATAAATTGTTCCACCTATTTTCACAGCAATTAACATCCAATCTTCACGTTTCTCATAAGGTGTAACCATTAACTTCGTTAAAACACCTCGGTAACAGATAAAATCGGTATTCAAATTATAAATGGAATGTAATTGACGACCAATCGTGAATTTGGTTCGGTTTTCCAAAATCCATCGAAGAAAATCATCAAGACCAACCGAATCCTGGCCCCAAATAATATTTGGATTATAACCAACCTTAAGATCGTACTTGTGACCATTTTTAACATTCAGGTATCTCAGCTGAGATTTGTCAGCAAAGTAAACACGTTTACCTGTCTTCTTGTTTACCTTAAGTGAATAGAAACCAATTCTTGTAGGTTTACGTATGGAAGCATCAGCATGAGATTTGAATAGATGAGGAATTAAAATTCTGTCAATGATAATCTCTTTATCAGAGACACCGAAAACCTCCAAATCTTTAGCTTTATAACATCTTTGAACAGGTAGATCAACAGATGACATAACGAAAAAATCAATATTCTAATTGTAATAACAACAATTAAAAGGAAACAAAAAGATAAACAAAAACAATATAAGAGTCAAAGACACAAAGAGCAATAGGAGGAAAACAATGAGAATAAGGAATTAGAATTGAATTTTCAAGTTGACAATTCGTTTACCTGTTGATCGCAATTAATGATCAGAAAATCAACTTACCCTGATGTTTATCGAGAAAACAAAATTTCAATAAACTGATTAAATCGATTGGGATTCAATTGGGATTGAACAAAATTAAACTACTTGGGAAATCAACAAACAAACACAAACACTTTATGTTAACCCAAAGATTTCTGGTTAATGATCACTAATAATATCATGTGAGTAGAAACCGTTAACTTATATAAAGGATTCTAGTTGATTAGTTAACAATTTAGGCTCAAAATCAATTGAAAGTTAATTTGCTTTTAAAAACATTTCATTTGATTTCGTATCAACAGTTGACCACTTTTTGGATCATCTTTTTTTTGCAAACTTTTCGTTTTCGAAATGATTGTTTCGATTGCTTTTAAAATCTTCTGCTAATTGTTTCGATTGATTTTCTTGATTGTTTCTGTTTTTTACTCTTGGAAAAGTTTTTTTCTTTAATTATTTGTCCGTTGCTCTTTTTTTAAGATAATTAATTTCTCCAAAACAATCAGTGGACTGATTGAATTGACGACGATCATTAGTCTAATTATGATTAACTTGATTGTTTTTATGATTTTATTGTTCACTTTAATTGTTAACATGTTCATCATTTATTAGTTCATTTATTAACTGATTCATTTTCATCTTTTGGGATTTTAATAGAGATCTTAATTGTAACGATTTAGTCAATTGCTGTTGAATCATTGTTTCATCGGACCCGTTATGATAATGTAATTATTATAAATGTGATAATAATCTCAATCATTAGTCACAATTAACTGTTAAATTAAGAAATTGTGAAAAAAATAACAGTTGAAATTAAATTCTCGTCAAGTTCATATGTAACAATTACTCGATTTCGACAAGATCAGATCAAGAATAAACAAAGAGAAATAAAATTATGATCATAATTGAAATTCTAAAGGTGTTTAATCAGTAAATTGTAACAATTAAAAACAAAGAATTGCGAAAAAAAAATTTAATTGAAAATCTTAAAACCAATAATCAATAATTTAAGAAAATTTATCAAAGAGACAACAAACTAAAAACAATTGGGTTGATAATCGAGCGAAAAAAAAATTAAAATTCTCTTGTCATTTCAACGAATCAACATGAAAACAAAATGTTGATCAATAATCGAAATAATTAATTAAATTTTCTACTAAATTGTACTTGATTGTTATTCTTTTCCGTAGTTAAGTGAATTTCGGATTAAAGATTAAAAGAAAACATCGATCGATAATCGATCTATTGTTCGCTTGTAGATTAGGAAATTCTCCCTGATAATCGATTATATCGATGGTGAAACTGTTGGAAGATTTTTCTTTCTTTAGAATTTCAATTGATCTTGAATTGATTATTTTCTGATTTTTTATTCTGATTTTTTGGTGAATTGTTTTTTTCCACTTTGATATCGATAACTTAGATTCGCAATTAATAACCGGTAAGTAGTTGATTAAATTTAATTATTTCTATTTAATTAAAAAGTTTAAATGTTTTCTTATTGAGAGAATTTTATTTTTTATCTCTATGTGTGAGTGTCTCTTCTCTCTCTCTATTTTCCATCTTTTCTCCTACACCCATGTTAGTCTTTCGCTCTCCCTTTTTCATCTTGTTTGATTGTTTTTGACTTAATTTCTTTTGCTTTTTTTTGTTCAATTTAAGTGATTTTTAGATTAAACATTTTTTGTTTTAAATTGTTTCTACCGTTTGCCTCTTCCAATTTAAGGATTCATAATGTACAAGAGAAAACCTTCAAATGTTTGGAATTATTTTTCTACCATTGGAGATAAAGCTCAATGTAGACTTTGTGGAAAACAAATTAAAAAGTGTGGGAACACTTCTAATTTTTTGGCTCATTTGAGAAATATACATAATCTTTTACCTCATCAACTTTCCACCACCTCTGACCAAGCAATTCCAGCATCGGAAAATTCGCATGCAACATTGATTTTACAACTTGAAGGTCCAGAGGCAATAAGTGAACAATCAATCAGCAGTAAAAGAGTTAAGACTGAAGGTTAGTCTGGTTTACAATTCTTTTCGATTTTAATCATTTTAATCATTAATCATATTTCTCATTTAATTACGATCTTTTTTGTTTCTCATTTAAAGATGACAAATCTAAGTTGATTACTAATCTGGTGGCTAGTTGGTTTGCCAAGGATATGCTTCCTGAGGAAATCGCAATGGGTGATGGATTCAAAAAGTTTTTAAATGAAGTTGCACCTCATTTACCTTTTCCACCCCAAGCGGGTGTTGTTGAGAAATTACACACAAAATATCAAAGCAGTTTAATTTATATTGCTGATAAATTGTCGAAAGTTGATGAATTTGCCCTAACATTTGACATTTGGAATAATAATTTAACTCAACACAGTCATCTTACTTTGACTTCGCATTTTATTGATGGTACATCTCATGGATCCATTGTTATTGGTAATCGTGAACTGCCCAGTACAACAATCTCTACAGATGAGCTTCGCTCTGCAGTAATGGACATTCTTAATAAATGGGCGATCAATCCAGAGAAAATAACTTGTGCTATTACCCATGACATTACTGGCTTAATGGGATCTTTACAGGAACTTTTGGACGCATCTAAGTATCAGAAATGTTTCGCTCACACACTTGATTCAATGCTTAGAGAATCGATTGGTTCACAATCTGAACTATTGATGTTGATAAGAAAAATCAGGGAGAACTTACATTTTTGTGACGAAATTACTGCAGCTCAAGAATCAATCATGAGAGATAAAGTTGTCGTATTAAAAGTTTCCCCTCTTGATGATAAATCAACTGACGAAAGCGATTGGACTTGCCTTTATGCAACATTGGAACGTTATGTTAGCCAAAGCACTGAAATATCAAACGTTCTAATGGGCTTCGATGGACCAGTTATCAGTGAAGCGGATGGTAAAATAGCCGAAGAAACTTTATCTCTTTTAAAACCTTTCCATCAAATAGCTGATGAGATGAGCAGTGAAAAATGGACACCGATAAGTAAAATTATCCCGATCGTTGGAGTTTTGGTTAAAGCAATTAACCTTATATTACCTGAGACCAATTGTGCAAAGGAATTTAAAAACACTCTTCTTAAAAATATCAGATCAAATTTTAAAGACATCGAAGCTGATCCAATTGCATCAATAGCCACATTGTTGGATCCAAGGTTCAAAAATTTGGATTTCACTAGTGAAGCACAATCGGTGAAAGCAGTTAACAAACTTAACTCGATGCTAACCTCAGAAGATGGTACCATAGAAGATCAAGTCGGTCAAGGAGACCAAAAAGACGATGATATCTGGTGTTTACGAAGAGTAAGTCGAGCAGCGAGATGCAATGAACAAACCGACTCAAACAAAATAGCAGCCGAATTAAGAAATTATCTCGACCACAGGACTTTTAACATTACTTCCGATCCAATTGAAATTTGGGATAATCATAAAACTCTGTTTCCATCGATTCATAAATTAGCCAAGAAATATCTTAGCATTCCCGCTTCAGCTATTCCAGCAGAGAGGCTTTTCACTGGCGTGGGTTCGTTGGTAACCAGAAAACGATGTCTTATCGATTCCAGTCAAATGGAAAATCTCCTAATGTTGGAAAGCTTACCTGCCGATGTCGTTTTCTCGCTTTAAATTTGAGCATTTTCTCCTCCTCTTCATTGTCATCATCATCATAATCATCACCGAAAAAACAAAAGCATAAGTAAATATCTCACCATCTCTTATCAATCAAATTTAAAAGAGATAAATAATTTAACTAGACTATTTTTTGCTCGACTTTTGAATCCGATTCTCCGAAATGATATTGATTCAATCCATGTTATCCAAGTGATCAAATTCCTCTGATTGAGCTGCCAGCAATTAACCAAACACGGATGATCTCAATTAATTGAACCATCTCCTCATCAAGTTTTTTGTTTCTCCTACGATAAATTAATCATTCACATGATTAATTATAATAATAATGATTACATTGGCAGATTAAATTAATATCAAAATACAATTGAATTGACAATAATTGATTTCTCGTGTAATGAAAAAAGAGATTTTAATTATTTTAAAACAAACAAAAACTACACAATTTAGTTTAATCGACAAAAACTTGAAAAATTTACAACAATCAAACATCAATTGAAACAATATACATGTAAAATAATGAACAATAATGAACTGGAATCATAATTTAGATAATTAGATAATATTACCAAGTTTAAAAAATATTCTAATACAATTTAAATTAATCAATTTCATATTCTAAACAATATGTCAACAGAATTAAATCAATCAAATTGTCCTCTCTTTGGTTAAACTTATGTTGATTTAACATCCTTGTAAAATTGATCTTTGGTTATGCCTTTTCTTGGCTCATTGAAAAAAGTTAATTGACTATCAAATTTGATGATACGATTTAATCCTTTCGCAGAAATTTTTTTAAGCTTTTGGAAATATCGTAACAGCGCAATTGTCATGGACCCACAAATCAAGGAGAATAAAAAAATCAACACAAGATGTAATTTGGTTAAACTAAATCCCGAACCTCGGGCAATTAGAATTCGATAACCTTCAACAACAATAAAAGCGGTTTCGATGATCTGATGAGTTGCTGTTCTATCAATTTCACAATAAATCTCGGAATCAGTTTCATTAATTATCGTTAATTTAGTCTTCAAACAGCCCTCACTACCATGGTCTGTGTTAAATTCAATGGTATATTCATAATCGGGATGAAGGTTACGAATAAAAATCGTTGTATTATCAAGTGTAAACTGGGCGGCGGTCACAACCGGATCAGGTCTAATGGTGTAGATTAAATTGAAATTTCGGTTCTGTTGTTCTGTAAATGGGAATCCATGGCTTTCCAGAATAATAGACAAACTGAAACCTTGGGTAAAATTAATTTGACTAATATCAAACAGATCAAATTGAGGGTGTGGACACTCAATATAATAATCGTATTTTGAACAAGATAAACTCGTCGAATAGTTGACCGAATAATTATTTTGGTCAACAAAGCTTATTTTGGTATCGTAAAAAGGAATCAAATTAGTATTCGTGATAATTAATGAGTTATTGATCTTTGGAAACACGTTTTTTGGCATAACACTCAAGTTACTTGGCATTTCGCTAATATTTCCGGCGTTGTCGCGATTTGTCATAGTCCCGAGCAGATCTGAAACAATGACTGCCAATCTAGTGAATCGTGAATCCGAGGGATAACAAATAAATTGATTGTCCATATGATGATAGCAATTAATATTCGTTATTATGAGTCGTGTATGTTCAAAATCGCGAGGTTGAGATGAGATAACTGAAATTCGTGAAGGGTGACCTCGTATTAACAAATAGGGAATAATTTTATCCATATGACATGGTAGATGAACGGTAACCTCATTGACACCAATTAACAGAACTGAATTTGATAGGGTTGGTCTCTTAATATAATCCAAATGAAATCCGATCCGATTAACGACTGCATCGGATTCGCGAATCGGACCGACAAATGAAAAAAAACACGAGATGAGTTTGTCGGCTAATTCATGGCCACTTACAACTCTGCCTTGTATTTCAGGTCCCAAGTTCCTATCGACTCGCACAGAATATGAAATACTACCTGGTAGATTCTCTAAATGATCAGGAATTTCATATCTCATTACGATCAATTGATCGCCTACGAATGGACTCCCATCGTATGTCGCTACGATACAATAAAAAGTAATGTTATGATCATTTGACCTCAAACGATATTGACTTGGACAACAACGAGATCCCGTCCATATGCAATCAGAGTTTCCCTCGCTCGCGACAACACAAGATCGGCAATCAGAGTACCTGGAACAAGAATTAATTATTGAACCATTTCCCGAACATTGTTCACTCCATAAGTCTTTTGATGATTCAACACCGTTGATATCAAATTGTAATAGTGAGTGTGAATAATCAAATGTAATTACCATCGAAAACATAATTAGAAACAATTGTAAATATGATAATTTAAATCCGTTGTGAATCAATCTGATCAATTCGTTGGATGATCTTAATAACATTATACCAATAAAATGACATTGATATGAAATTTTAAACGATCTAGAAAATAATTGATTCAATTTGTTTCATCATAATAACTAATCAAGATGAAAGATAATAAAATTACAAGCACAATTACAGTTACAATTAGATTTAAAATCCGACGGTTGATCAAAGATACTGACAATTATTAATCAATTAATCAACCAATCAACTTTTTGTTTACAATCATTTTTCAACCGTTATTCAATCAAATCTGCTCTCGATTTGTATTTTCAACTTTTAACAATTAATAACAGTTCGCTTGATATTAACATTGATTACTACAAACCTTTTTGTTGATTGTTGTTGTTGATTATGTACAACTAATTGCAATCAAATTCCTGTACTTTGTGTGATTTGCCTGGCACTATTATTAAATTGTTCTCACAATTAACCTCAGCAATTGTAGATTAGTTTAAATCAACTGGATTATCATCATGAATAATTAACAATCAACATTAACACAATTTTCCCTTAATTGGGTCAAACCAAATTAACCATAATTGTGATATTTTACCAAAGGTAAAAGTTTTTGATTAAAACAAGTTCACCGAATTATAATAAATTGTAATAATACTTGATGATGATCAATTTAATCATCACAATTAAATCAATAATTTCCTTTTGGTAAACTAACAGTTTGGAGCCAATTGTTTTCCTAACATTCAATGTAAATCCTATTGATTAGTTAACTAATCATCAAATATAATAATCAATATCGATGACGATGATGAAAACAAATGATTGAGATTTGATTACAATCTAAGGTGTTGAAAGTTAATTGTGATCACGTTCATATTATTATTAAACTACAATTTGATTTTTCTCTTCCCCTCTTAATTACATTTATTATTATCTAAATTGTTGTTAATGATAAAAAAAACTTTTCATGTAGACATGAAGTGAAAATCTTTCAATTGTTGTGGTCATTTAAGTTGATTGACCCAACTTGTTGACCACTACCAATCAATCATGTACCTGAGACATGATCCATTGATTTATTAATTGTATGGACATTGGTCCAGACTTGAAAGGTTATCAAACAATCAACAACAATCAAAAACTTCACCAAACAATTTGATACATTTCAAAATATAATTTTCTATTCCTGATTAATTGTCCAATCAAATTGTTACACTTTTCTAATTGATGATTAACTTTTCCTTTTCTATTTTTAGATTAATTATCTTACAACTAGTTAATTAAACCCATTGTGAATATGATTAATTTAAATTGCAAATGATACATATCAGTTGATTAAGCTAATTGATTTTAAAGGTTAAACATTTTTTTGGTTAATGATTAACAATTAAAGATAAATTGATTAACCTTAAACTGTATCACCTTGAAAATAATCAATTAAATTGTAGCTTTTAAACCCTTGTGTAAATGTTAAAAGTTAAACTTAACCATCAACTTAATTATCCACACAATTTAGTTAATCATGTCGTGTTGATTGTTAATTATATTACTTAATTAAATGGTAAATCTAAATGATAAATATTATTTCCTGTGGATGACAATATAACCATTGTTAATAATAATCAAGGTGAGAAAGGTATTCACTTAATTATATCAAACCCAATGAGTTAATGATAATTAAAAAGACAAAATTAATTGTTATTCAAATCACACAAACTATCAACAATCACCTTAACTCTGTAAAATTTAACTAATTAAAAAATGAAAGTTTCAGTCCAACAATCAACGAAAAAAGTTAATCATGACCAATGGTCTGGACATTTATCATCTTTAGCCAATAATCAATCCTTACCAATACAAAGCTCCATCATCCTCATCCTCATTTTCATCATCATCTCACCTTCTCCATCTAATTCAATTCCACTCTCACTCTCTTCCGGGCAACTCCTCGAAATGACATTTAATTGACCCTCCCTGTTCATCTTCCGGTCTCTCTCTCTCTCTTTCTTTCTCTCTTTATTTCCTCTGTCTATTTATCATCATTCTCCTTTCTTTCCATTAATATCCTCTGTGTCTCTGTATCTCATTGCCACTCCATCTCCTCCTCTCACCTCCCCGCCGACACCTTAATCATGTTCATGCTTCCTTATTATTCAATAATCTCACCCTTAAGATATTAAATTATCAACAATATACTTATAATGATTAACTAATTTTCTCATTCAAATCTTGCTCTTGCTCTCTTTTTACCACACAATCTATTTAAATTGTTCACCCCAGACAAGATTGTTGGTTAGTTTTAATCAACATTATTAATAACAATCAACTAATCTAATAAAAGTTTCATTTACACTTTTTCTTAAACCCTTAATTGTGTTCAACAAACTCATTGTTTCCTTAATTGTGCTCATTGAAGTTATTGGCCGTTAATTACAAGTTAATTTACTAATTGACCAGAATACTTATTCATCAGATGGATATAAAACTTTTCCAAGCCAAAGAAAACCTTAGTAAGTACCCTTTAAGTTTACAATTAACTAATTGTTCTGTAAATTAATCTTATTCATAACTAAAATTAGTAAAAATTACCTTGACCAATACAAGTTCAGGTAATCAACTAAAGTTGATATTGAATTTAGGGAAAAAAGTTATTACAATATAAACAATCACCAGAATTTAAATTACCTTGCCAATCCTATTCATTAAATGATAACCATAAGCATCAGAAATGATGTATTATCATAACAATTTAACCTTGACAATTGAACAATCAAAGTAGCAAACAAAAAAAGACTCAACCAATGTAAAAGATTCACCACAATTTATGGATTTAATGACAATTAATAAATTCCCCATGGATCAGATGATAATAAGTTCATTACAAATCTCAGTGTAATCATCTCATTGGTTTACAATTATAATAATAATAATACAGCAAAACAAAATTTAGAATCACAATTAGCCCGTAACGAGAAGCCATATTATCATCAATTTGATAATCATAACAATCAAAAATTGTTTCCAGGCTTCTGATCAATTAATCGTTGATGTTTGTGTTGAATTAATCAGAGAGTGAAATTGTTACTGATTGTTACGATTAACAATTTGATAGATTGAGCAAGTTACTTATTAATGATATTCAATATTTCTGGTTAGGGTTAAGTTCAGCATTGAGTCAGGTCAATTAATCTAATAGCTTATTATTAATTAAATACATTAATCTGATTTGATTGTTTTCTCTTATTGTTATTATTATGTTTTCCTTTGGTCCAATTTACCCACCGGTGGTAAATGGCAAGAGGAGGAAGAGGAGGATTAAGTGGATGATAGATTAATATTATTAATCAATTGTAATTGTAAAAACAACATGAAGTCAATTTGATTAACTAATATTCATTTATATTTATTGAAATGAGAATCAGGAAAACCTCAGGATATTGACTCTTACATATTGAGTTATACCATTGAACTGAACAACAATTCAGTTAAATTGTTTATTATTAAATTATCTCAATTTGCAAAAGTGATAAAGTTTCAAAAAATTCAAGCGCCATTTTTGTTGTTGGTGTTATATGAGTTACTTCAAGTTATACATCCTGATTAATTGACTTTTGCTTGATATTCATAAACAGATAATAATACAAATCAACTCAACCATAATGAACAATGAATTTGGACAATTTGTCCTTTAACAATTAACTTTCATCATCAACATTATCATTGTTATTGTTGTTATATTGTCATCATTATCAACTAACTCCCTTTAACTATTAATACTTAGTGAGTGTTACAATCAACTTTAATTTTCACTTGGTATATATAAACAATTTCTTGTATTTCAACAAATCATTTGCTTAATTGTTAATGGATGATTATCATCAGTATTATTAAATTGTGCTTTTACAATCAACTGCAAAATTTAGCTGAAAAATTGTGATAAAATGTGTAACATTTTGTGAAAGTTAATTGTTGGATAAACTTCTTGAATTGACTGACCACTCGAGTCCAAATACTCAATGTTTTCCTGTAATTAGTTTGATTACCATTTTGATTTGATTGATTTTTTGTGAACACAATCAATAAATTTATATAATCTAAATCAACATCAAGTTGTGTTAATCAATTGATAAACAATCAACATGATTAAAACTCATTTACCAGTTCAAATTGTCACTCACTTTTTACTTGCAGGTAAGAAAATTATTGATTAATTTAATTGTGTGTAATTATATTGATTTTTTCTTCTGAATCTTTAATTGTTATAGTTTTTTACTCAATCAACATATCATCATCTTCATCTTTTGCCTTTAAATCAAGCGATTTGTTGGCTTCAAATAGAACCAGCGGATTAAATAGTTCAACTGAATTTACCACTGATTTAGAAACTCGATTAAGTGAAGATGACCCTTCAATGACTAACGCAACGTCGGACATACCGATTTGGGACAGTTCGAACATCGAAAATGATTCAATTAATGAAACACTTAAATCACTAATTGATAATATGGATAATATAACAACACCAGTTTTCATGGTACCAGATGAACTTGATGATAGTAATGCAACAACATTAGCATCTAATGATAACATGGCTGACATGATAACAACACCAACCACAACTACAACAAGTGAAAGTCCATCCAATGAATCAGTTTCAATGTCCACACCCTTAGGGTCAATGAATGAATCTAAAGTGATCTATGAAACAACTACCGAGACAATTAAAGTAGTTAACATGGATAAGCATCTTAATGAGGCTGATAAGTCAGGAGTTGGGGGTGGATCAAATGATGAAGATTCTGAACTACTTCCGGTTGAAAATCAAGCATCTCGAGTTGCATGTACTCTTGAGGGTGATCTGGTTTGCAATGGATTAGCACCAACTTGTTATGGATCGGGTAATATTCAATGTGACCTGAAAAGCCAGGAATCAACAACGGGAACACGGAAAAGATCAATGATTAATCAGAGATTCACATCGGATGACCAGTGTCACATGGTAGGTGACATAATTTGCAGTCCAATGGTCACTTCTAGTCTATGTAAAGGGTCAGCAATTTGTAAGGCTGATAAAATGGAGGAAATTGTTGCTTATAATTATTGGCAAATCTTGTTAATTGCTGGCGCTCTTGCGATTATCTGTGTAACGATAATTGTAGTTGGTATTGTAGGATATTTCTCGTAAGTATATCATCAACAATTAGTGGACAATTAACATTTACAATCGGTATCCTTATTCATTTTCAGATGGACAAGATACAAAATCCGGCCTGAAGCTAATGGTCAAGGTAATCAGGCTTCAAACAAAGCTTAATTACTCAACAATTAAAATGAAGAAAACAACAAACTGTGATCAAGCCTGAAAGGTCATTTAAAAAAAAAGACAAACTTTACACCAACAATTACTAATTAATTAGTAATTAATTGCCATGATTTAAGACTCCAAACTTGCTTTGATTTGATTTAAGATAATGTTTATACATCATTTAAATAAAAACAATATCATTAATTTGTCACTAATTGTAAACAATTTAATTTCGCACCAATCACATCTCCAACTAATTATCATTACCCGCCAATTTATAACAATCATAATATATAAAAAATCAAACAATTATTAAAGACAATTCAATCAACCCTCTAATTGATCATCTTATCAGAGGTAATTAAATTGTTGCCAAACAGTTGTAACAATCAAATTAGATTTTATCTAAAATAATCATTTTCACTGATGATGATTGTGATAATCAGTTAATCAAAATAAATTGGGAAAAAAATCAGTAAGTATATTTTATGGTGAACATGGTATTCAAATTGTTATTTAAATTGCTAAATTATTAAAAAATATGATCTACATTCAGGTCATATGGGTAATTAAATTTAATTGTAGATAATCTAGAAAGTTGTTAACGGCTTCTTAGTTATTGCCATGGAAAACTAAATGTATTAATTTAATTGTTGTTTATTTTTTCATCCTTGAGATTAAAATATCAGCAAGATAGAGCACCAGAAAACGTCACGAAAAACACCAACAGTATTAATTGTTACAACGATAATTGATTGCTAATGATTTAATTTCGTTGGCACATTGGTTAGGTACGAAAACTAAAAATAATCAGGTTGATAATTAACCTGACAATTATATAATATCAAATTTCCCTCTACATTTACCGTTGTGATTGTGATTAAATCAAGTGAGCAAATTAAAGAGAGAGAGAGAGAGAGAGAGAGAGAGAGAGAGGAAGAGATGAAAAGAAAGAGGATGAAGATGAGGGAGTCGAGTGAGAGTAATAAAGATTTACTTTCATGAGTTTCATTTGATTTTCATGTTAAATTGTTGCCAATTGAACTAAATTAACACAATTTTTAAATAATTAATCAACTCTAACCTTTCATTGTTTTATAATCTGTTACCATTAATTTACCGTTAGTTTTACTGTTGTTTTTTTAATCCTAATGACGAGATAACAAACACTATTGAATTTTAATGTTAAATGTTAAATTAGATGAAATTAAACAATTAACTAACTAATTAACAAGGAAAAAAGTCCCATTTAAATATATAAAAAGTAATTAAAACCAAATTGAATCAACAAGTTTTTATGTAATACAAACGTTTTTGTCTGAACGTATCATCGTCGTCATCAGTAAATTGTAAATCGTTAATCATGTCGTGTTTTGATTGTGATGAATCGATTGGCCATAAATCATCTCGATCTAATCGTGCTGTTCATCGTCTTCTATTGGCCTTACTAACGGTCTCAATAATTGCCGCTTTAGTGCTATTTGTTACTCTCTATGCTTCATCTTCATTTGCTCAAGTTAATTTTTTGGGTAAATTTGTTTCTGATCAACAATTAGGAGTCTACAATCAAGCAGCCATTTCAACGGATGGTCCTGGTTGTGCTAAATACGGAAGGTAAGCTTAATCAGTTTGATTAGATTGCAACAATTAACGCTCATTAAGAAGATGAAATTAAATTGGAGACAAAAAGTTTTTCCTCCTCATTAAATATTACCTAATATTAGCCAATACTATGAACTTGCCTTTTTAATTGCGATCAGCAGCAATTTAGATTAGCATAATTGTGGTTAAATTAATTGGGATAAATTGGGTTGGTTAGAGTTTGAATTATGTACAATTATCATTAATTTCTGATTGATTGTTAACATTAATCAACTGTAACTGATATTAAACAGATGAAATTGTTGTTAATCAGATGATTAAAGTTAATTGTGATCATGAAAAAAAGTTTAATTCAATTTTTTGATTGAAATTGAAGGTGATAAATATTATTTTCTTATTCAATTTATTTTTAATGAAACATTAATCACAATTAATCAAATACAATGAGTACTTTTCAAGTTATTGATTAGCTAAATTGTTGAGTTTCTGTTTAAATATTACCAGAATTAATTGTCTACAACTTTGAGTTACAATTAATTAGGTGTTTACTTAATCAACTTATGTGATTTTCACGTGAAAATTGTGATTCTACGTTTTTAATTTAGTTAATCAACTAATTGTTGTTTCAATTGACCATTGATTGTCTGGTTCAATCAATGAACTCGATTGGAATTGGTTGATTTTCAATATCTAATTAACTTGATTGATTTCAAATTGTTACTCTTGATTTTTATTGATTGTCAATTGATTGTTAAAAAACACAAAAAGTGAATCAAACAATTTAATAATTGTCAGTAGTGGTTAGATGATGGATACCAGAAAAATTAACTGATTGTTATCTTTCATAAGGACTGATTGTATAATATTAATGTATTAATGGTGATCAATAGTTAGGTAATGGTTGATAATGATTACAATTAATAAATTGTTATCTAATCAACAATTTTTGTGTTTGCTGTTAAATTGAAATTGTTTCAATTTAATTATTGGTATTTTCAATGATCAACAATTTAAATAAACAATTAACTATGTTTTCCTAGTTTTGAAAAGGTTTAATTGTCACACTTGCTTTTAATTGTTCACAATCAACTAGGCTTAATTGTGTTGTATTGTTTTATGATTAAAATGATGTCAATGACCTTCCAATTGAAATAATTAGACACAATAAATGAAAACAATTACAATTAATTCAGTTATTGACATAATAACAAATCAAGTTTACCTGCTTTCGTTAATTTAGTTGATTTTGATTGTGATAATTAATAATTCATAAGTTTCATTGTTAATTTAATGTCATAGATGAATAAATGATTCAATGTTGATTCAGTTTAATTGTTGATTAAAAGCTGATGTGTTTTATATTTGATGAAAATATTCAATAATTGTGACAATTAACTTATTATTGAAAAATGTAACTACAATTTGTTAATTGTTATCACCCAGTGAGTTTCATGATTACAAGTTAAATGTGAAGACTTCAAGGTAATTAAAAATAATGATTAACTTTATCAGTTAACAATTAACTGTAAATTTTTAATCTTAAACTACATAAATGAGTGAGAAATATTTTAATTATGTAATTTAATTGTTACAATTAACAGTAACAAGTAACATGCTTTCACCTTGTGATTTTGATTACTGTTTGATACACATGAACTTGAATAACAATTAACAATTAGTTTGTATTAATTTTGATGGTTTAACATACATTTATGATTAGATTAGTTGAAAATCAGAGTAATTAATTGATCTAGTGAAAAATAAACAAATAGATTAACAATTTAAGTTCAATTATTATTAACATGTGATAGATTTTCACAATTAACCTTCTTGATTAGTTGATTGATTTCAATTACAACTTCAATTTGTAACTTTCGTTGACCAGAAAATTATTGGAACGCAATGGGACTGCAATGGACGCCGTGATCTCCGTGCTGCTTTGTATGGGTGTTGTCATACCCGAAAGTTTAGGACTTGGTGGGGGAGTTTTCATTGTTTACTATAAAAAGTAAGGTCATGGTAATGGTCAAGCGGTCAGTTGGAAATTAAGTGGATCTATTTTTTTCGATTTTTAAATTTACAGAGATGAAAATAAGGCTTATGTCATCGATGGTCGGGAAACTGCCCCAGCGGCGGCAAAAGCGGACATGTTTGCCGCAAATCCTAAAGAATCAGTCAATGGTCAGTATTTAATCATTCGATTGGTCAACGTTATGTTAATTGGCGTTTGTTGGTTGTAGGTGCAAAAGCAATGGGTGTTCCTGGAGAACTGGCAGCTTATTGGAGAGGTCACAGTGAGTTTGGTCACTTGAAGTGGTCAGAACTTTTCGAAGGTGCGATCGATATCGCCAGTAATGGTTTTCCTATGCACGATCATCTCTACGAAGCATTTAGAAAGAGTCAATATTTCAGGAATGATCCATTAATCCAGTAAGTCAACAATTTAGGTTTAATCTGTTGCAATTAATTATTTTCCAATCCAAAGAAACTTATTCACTAATCCAGCGACTGGACAACCGTACAGACTTGGTGAGACCATGAAGAGACCTGATTTAGTGAAGACTTTTAATAAATTGAAGGAAACTGATGTTAATGAATTTTATCGAGGATCCATGGGGAAAACTCTGGTCAAAGAGATTCAAAATCTTGGTGGAATCATAACTGAACAAGATTTCGCTGATTATCGTGCCAACTTTTACGAATCAGTTAACATAAGTTTACCCAATGGATTAAGACTTTACTCTGTTGACCCTCCCGGAAGTGGACCTTTACTCGGTTTCATTCTGAATGTTTTCCTACGTACTGGTAAATTAAATCCTAATGTTGGTCAGTCTCTTGAAGACTCAACACTTTATTACCATCGATTCATTGAGACTTTAAACATGCTTATGCCACACGAACGAAACTTGAAGATCGTAGTTTTGGTCGAATTGAGGAAACTCTCAAGAAATTATCATCACCCGAATATGTCCAATCCATTGTGAGCAAGATTAACGACGAACGGACTTACCCGGTAAATCATTACGATGGTTCCGTTACAATCACCGAGGATCATGGCACCTCTCATGTCTCAGTAGTTGATCAATATGGTAATGCTGCGGCTGCAAGTTCAACCGTGAATATTTAGTAAGTTTTATCAATATAATCATATGATTATCAGAATCAGAATTTGAGTTTTAATTGTTTTGCATTCACAGCTTTGGGAATGGGATCGTCTCGCCATCTACAGGAATCATTTTCAACGACGAGATGGATGATTTTTCATCCGCTAATTTAACAAACTCTTACGGTGTTGCCCCGTCAGCTTTTAATCACATTGAACCAGGAAAACGACCTTTCTCATCAATGTGTCCCTCAATTATTGTTGACAATTCAGGTCAGGTTATGATGACCGTTGGTGCAAGTGGTGGAACTCAAATCACTACTGCAGTGGCTCTTACAATTGTCAGAACTTTGTATCTTGGTGAAAATATCAAACAATCAATTGATGCCCCTCGAATTCATCATCAATTTTCACCCAACACAATTAAACACGAATCTACTTTTCCTTCCAATATACTCACTGAATTGAAAGAGAAAGGTCATGATACAAGTGTCATCACCGGAAGGTCATCAGTTGTGATGGGGATAAGTCGCAATGCTGCTGGACAATTGACAGCGAACTCAGATTATCGTAAAGGAGGATCAGTAGACGGATTTTAGTGACAATTTAACGAATACTTTTTAGTATGTCAACTTTGTAAATTACAATCGAAACGAAGTAAATTAAACTTTTTCGTTATTTATTGAACAATCAAAATGTTTGTGAAAAATTTATCAACTATCATTCAACGAAATCCATAGGCACCTTCAACTTGAAATCTTTTCTCCAATTAACAATCAAGGAGGAAGAGGAAATGGATTAAATATTTCTCTTCTGCGACAATTAAGCTCCTTGTACTCTGTTGAAAACGAAATGCTCAACAGTTTGGTCCATCAAAAAAAAAACGATGTCAAAAGGAGTTTTCATCATGATAATTGTCATCTCTCTGCGACCTTTGGATCGCAAGCGCTTGATTGTTATTAGGAATTTTGGGAAATTATGATAATACGTAAATTTTTAATTACCACTAATTGGATAATTTGGTTATTTGGTTATTGATAAAATCAATTAACTAATAGATTTACAATTAGATAATAACGATTTAAAATCTAAACAATTTCATTATTATTATTTACTAGTAAATAATTAGTACAACTAAAGGCGTTGTTTTTTTCACCAATAACTCAGATTATACGGTAGTTAATTTTTTTACAAATCTTATCAATTAACCGTTTATTTAACGATAAATAATGAAATATTTTATATTGATTTCTAATTAAATTCATTCACTATTCAACTGCGTTGACATATTGACACATAAAAATCATCATCATAATAAACATTGAAAATGTTTCCCTTATTGTTAAGTGTTTTTTTAATGATTTCCTCTGGTAATTCAGGTGAGTTTATATTGAAATCGGTTATTTGTCAGCAATTAACTAATAATATCTCAATCAAATTTTTAATATTTTCTTAGCTACGATCTCTTCATTAATGGACTTACCATTAACTTTACCAAAGGGTAATCACATAATTCACGCGACATTAAAAGATCAGGTAAATAAATGATTTTATCTTCGAATCGAAACTAACTATTACTATCAATTGATTAACTTTTTGTTAATTAAAAGAATACTGGAGATAAATTTTCGATGAAAGAGTTTATTTCATCGACATCAACAATTAACGGGATGATTGTGGTTGATACGCCTAAGGATACATTCAATGTTTATTACAATTCAAAGGATCCAAACGGGAAGGATAATTATGAACGACAAGTGATTATGGGTAAAGTTGTCAAGTTAATCAAGAGTTTTATTATCGTTTCGAAAGTTAATTAATTGATATTCATCATCTTGTCTCTTATTCAGGTATCGATTGTTCATTGTATAAATATAAATTTAGTTCGTATTTTAAAAAACTACCTGGAGTTAGTAAACAATTGACAAGCGTACTAATTTCTATGGGACCATCGATACTTTATCGTTTTGCCCACGGTTCATTCATTTGGGTAATAATAATTATCATCAATCGAAAAAATTTACAATCAAATAACTGATTTGATATTTTATTTCATTAACTTATCAGGAAAAGAGTGCGGATAAGATTGTCAGAGGTACCACGATGAAAAGTTTTAAAACTCAAATTCATCCTAAATTGAATATCACTTATTACTACAAATGTAAGTTGATTATGACGAATTAGAATTTGTGTTTTTATTGATTTGTCTCCAATTTTTTTTGTATCCAATCAGCTAATTTGGATCAGCAATCAGGTCTACAAGCACCGAGTCGAATTTTTTTCAGTGGCAAAGATCTATCATATTCAGGGTATTTGCCGTCAGAGCATTTAATTTTGGAAATTTATTTACAGAAAATGGACTCAAAAAGTGATTTATCCAAAATCGTCAATGTAAGATAATTAATCAAAGACCTAACTTGTTATTAGCTGACCGATTCTCGTTAACATTGCAGCCACTTCCAGGACTCGGTTGTCCAGCTCACTATCAAGATAACTTACCGATTCCAAATCTGAATTTCCATCTCGTCCATATGATACTTTCCGAGACAATTACTGGTCCAACAACTACGAAAACTGTTAGCGAGGTGAGAGGTCAAATTCAGTTAATTGTTTGATCATTTGATTATAATGTTTCATCTTTTCGCCAGATTTATGCTAATGATAAACTCAAATTGATACGTCTGAAAACATCGCTTCTTGGTATTGAAACGGAAGCTCTTTATGATTATTCACTTGGAATAGTTAATATGTTTCAAGATGGCGGATCTTGTAACATCCAAGCAGCAGAAAAAACATCACCCGGTATCAACCAATGGACAAATAAGTTTAGTTTGAAAACATTATTCCAATTAGATGGACAATACAATTATCTGGGTAAAATGTATCTTGTAAGTACTCATAAAAAAGATACAAGTTGATCTTGTAACGATTAACTAGTAATGTTTTTTATTCTTTTACCAGAAATATCGATCTGGGCTCGTGGTGAAAGCATGGGAATCGGTCAGCTATTATGATATTGTCAATTCAAATAAATACGATAAAGTTGTGACTACTCAATATTTCACTGAAACGGTAAGTTAAGCAAAGTTTAATTTATTAGAAGTTTTTTCAATTTGATTTCACAATTCAGACAGATAATAGTGCTTTCAATGGATACCTGATTGTTGCAACGATCATTAATTGTTATAATTTAGATGCTAAGGTAATTTTTTGCATTTCGTTTAAAGTTCTGTTCGATTGTTATAATAGACTAATTATTTAATATTCATTAGAAAGAAAAGTATCAACTTGTTGAAGTTATTCAAAGAGATTATTTGGATTTCCAAGTTGCTGAGTCTGAATCTGAATTTCATGATAAATTCTCATTGAATGGGTGTAAATATTTCACCAGTGACATGACACTTAACTTTCAACTTGGATGCAAAGGTGAGTGTCTATTGTCCATTTAATAACCAAATCGAACTCACTAACTAATGTTGTCAAACTTTTAGAACTGGATTGTATCAAATTCGCTCAAGAAAATGTGTACGCATTGAAAGAGCGTTTCAGAGAGGCGATCTGTCGAAGATTTGACATTAGCCCTTTACGACTCAGTACAATGGACGTTACTTTCAGTACATCAACGATTGATATAAGGATCGATTTTCTTGAAATACCAAATCTACAAGGTACACATAATAAATTTACAGTGGATTATGATATATATCATTTCAAGTCCATTTTCTTACATTACAGGTCTATTTTCACCCAAAGTATATTTTGTCAATGATGAAACATTAAAGGGATTATCACGAACTAAGTCAGCAAGCGAAACTGACTGTTTAAGCCGATTATCAACTAGTTTGCAAAATTTTGAGTAAGTTTAATTCTGAGTACTGAATTGATCCTCATCTAATGTTTTGTATTCTCGGAAAGTATTGTACTGTTTTGTCAAGAAGGTAATATCTGTGGTACCATGAAGGGGATCGATAATGTCAAGGAAGATAATGTAAAAGGTGAACCCTGTCGATTGTATCAAATACCGTTGCACAATTTGTACCGATTGAGTCGAGAAATTTCAAACAAAGATCTTCAGTCCCGTTTGCTAATACGTACGGCTTTCAAGAACATCTCATTGACCAATGAATTCATGAGTAAGTTTTTAATTGGACTATTTTGCTATATTTCTGAAACATTTTTTCTCCGCAGGGCCAATTAATTACAGCATAATCGATATACTAGATGAGACTCGAGACAGAACTGACCATTCGCAAGATCTTTTCTATCTTTCTCATGGTGCTTCAAAGTTACAAGTTGATGATTCTAATGTTGTTGTGGTGCCGAATGCGAAAACATATGGTGACTGTTATCGAGCTTGTAAGAATTCAGATGAATTGGAATGTCGAACTTTATCTTACTGTTCAGGGGAGAAAGAAAGTGAATGTGCTGTTACAAATATGACCTCAGAAAACGCTCCAATTGATGTGACCAAGAGTGACACGAACTGTGAAGTTTATGCTAAAAATAATTTACTCGATTATTCAGTGATTGTAAATCGACGATTCAAGTCACCATCTTCAATCTCTTTGGAATTATATGTTAGTCAATGTGCCTCAGAATGTGCTTCAGATCCAAATTGTTTTTCTTTCCAAAATTGTGGTCGAAATTGTATTTTGGGTGGATTTTATACCGATTCCAGCACCGAATATGATTCTTATTGTGAAATTTACATTCGTAAGTATTAAAAAAAAGTAGAAAACGAATGAGCAAAAGAAAAATTCTAACTATTATTTCCTTTCTTTGTTAGCTAAAGTTTCAAATAAATATCAGTCCACAGGACGAAAAATTGTATCGGAAACTTTTCATGTCGAATTGAATTTGAATCATGATCAATGTGCCGCTTTGTGTTACAGTTGGGCCGATGGCCCGGACTCTTGTCAATCGTTCAATTTCTGTCCTGACGGTCGATCAACAAGTACTTGTTCTCTATCCAAATACTCAGTTGAAGACTCGAATACTAAAACTACAGAATCAAAAAGTTGTTTCAATTACAAACTAATTGAAAATTCGAATAAAAATAAACAATCAAATCCAATCGTACAAAAAGGTACCAGTGGATCAGCAGCATTTGGAATAATCTTGATTTTCTTGGCCACAGGTTTCATATTCGGGGTTGGACTTCCGATTGCATATTCGAAAATGCGAACATTGTCAAGTCGAAGTGCTCAAGGTTTAAGAAGTGATCAACGTTTCATATGGACACGACAAATGGATGATGAACCAGAAAACTAATCGAGTCAACTAATTGCCAAATTCACCTGTTATTATTTTAATCGAACAAAATCAATGATAATTTAATTGTTAAAATGACAATCGAGACTAAATAAATTGAACATTTTATTTATTGATGGTATTGACCAATCAAACGCTAGATATAAATGAATGTTTATATGATTGATTATCTTGCAATAAACTCCATTGTTATAATAGCTTTTTGTTGCTCATAAAATCCATAATCAATAATCACCACGACTTCGAATCTTGGTTTATGGAAATTCAAAACTTCAATGACCATCTTATTGTTGGAATGATCATTTCAAAAAGAAAAGAAAATTAAATTATTTTTCCTCGTTTCTCACTTGAATGAATGAAATTTGAATGGATAACAATCAGCGATTCGTTAGTTGTATTGTTCTACAGGGATTCATGTTATCACCTCGAAAGGTAATGTCACATTTACCGAAAAGATCGATAATATTTTCCCTTGGATTTTGTGGAATCTTCAAAATTATTATTCAATTGTTTTCGATATTGAAAATTTTGGACCAATAATGGAGAAATTACATATTATCTTTTTAATTCGTAGATTCATTTATTACGCGGTTATAGCATTACGAATTTTCATTGTGATATTCATCTTAGATTGGTCAGCATTTAGAGAGTATTTCGATTATATCAAACGCTTAGAACTTGATAAAAATGCTCATGCGGTTCAAATGATAACTTTAAATCGTCGGTATAAGATTATTGCTTTGTCAATCATGTTATTTTTATATGTTGTATTACATTTCAATCTCCCGTTTTATTATTCTTTGTTTGTTGGAGAAATCAATATAATAGCAACAGTATTTCACACTTTGCTCATTATTATTGATATTTTATTATTTTGGTCACTTTTTCATGTTGAATTCATTGGCCGATATGTGCATCTGTTTGGAGGCCACTTTTTCAACGATAAACTCGAGGATAAAAAATTTTCCTAGAGAAGAATATCCAGCGGTGATGTTAGATCATCTTAAAGCTATACGATTGGACTACACTCATGGGGTCAGGTCAACTCAGGCAGCGGAAAAATATGCTAGATATTATGTGACCTTTTTTTATCTTCAATTTGGTTTGTTCAATATCGTTAATATCGTCGATGCTCATGGAGATGATAAACTTGCTCGACTTTATTGGATTATCTACCTGGTTTTAGATTTCAGTTTGTTAATCTACGTTACGGTGAGAGTTGTTTCGGTTAATCAACTTTCTAGCCAAGGATTAGAGGATTTATATGAGTTATCTTATTTTATGAGAAACCAACATTTACAACATGAGGTAAGTACTAAAGCTCAGTTGCCTTATATTGAATTTCGATTGATTTCTTTTTTATTTTATCTACAACAAGCGATTCTTGGTGCTTATACGAATTCTTTTAATTTTTTTTATTCTATTCACAATTAGAACGACATTTTCATTAACCGAATGCTTTGGAAAAATGTTGGATTTACCTTTGGAAATTTATTCATAATCAACACCAATTTTATCACTTCAATGTTCACATTGGCACTAACACTGGTTATTACTCTCGCTAATTTCCTCTATTAATGAGTTTAAAATGAAAACTATTGATCGACAATAACAATAAAGTAATTGATTAAAATGTTTGTAGAAAAAAAAAATTAATTTGGTTTGGCGTTAAATTGAATAAAAAAAATGAGTTCATAATATTGAGATACAAACCAATCATTCATTTATCTTATATTTTAACCTGATTGTGACAAATAATCAGCAGGAATTTGGTATAATTTAGCGAAGACTTTACTTCAAAAAACTAATTTTTTCTTAAACGATTACGCGCGTAATTTTAGTCCGATATTCACCAATTTTCTCGATAGGGCCAAATGGTTGTTCTTACCGCCTGTGTAGTTTTTGTCCGTGACAATCTAAACAAGATAAACACTTCGGATTAAAAAGTTATTCAATTGAACGAGATGTTAAACAAATTCAATCGGACATCATGAGAAATGGTCCAGTCACTGGTGCTTTTAATGTCTACGCCGATTTTGTATCATATAAATCAGGTAATTAACCTAATCAACCAATGACATCGACCATTCAACTTAATTGTCTTAACTGTCTTTAGGTGTTTACCAGAAACATTCAAATGATTTACTTGCAGCTCATACAGTTAAAATTTAACTTTACCTTTATCCGATCTCCAGGTTCCTAATTCAAGGTATGGAACCTTATTTCCATCAGGTAAAAACATTAAAGGTGAAATTAGAGACATGATTAACTTAATTGTCAGCAAATTGTTTATTGTTTGAGCCACTTAAGCAGAGAAACTTATTAAACTTTATTGGATTTACCTGAGTGACTTAATCTACTAATAATTTGATAATTAAACAATCCCGAGAGAGCTAATCAAATAATTATCTTAATCATGTAACTACTTTTATTACTTTTCCCTTAATCCCATTGAATATTTATGATGATAATATTTATCAGCCAACAGCCATAATACATGCACTTTAATTGTAACTTATTCATAGATTTTATGATTTAAAGGAGAGCCTGGAGTACATCAACAATATTGGTATCTAGAGTTTTCGACGGACTGAATCCAGTTAATTTAATTTCGTCGAATGCTAAGTCAATCAAGTAATTAACTTGTTTCTCGGCGATTGCCGATGGATCGATTACTAGAAAAAAAAGAGAGAGAGAAATAAATTAAATGTTCAAGTTGATTGAGAATTAGTTTTATCAACATGATAATTACCTTGAACTTTTTCGAGACTCAAACTGATCCAATTGATTAAATTATCGTGAACACTTTGATTAGCATCAATTTGTTCTAGCGATTTCCATGGAATTTTAAATTCAGCCATTTTTCTTGAACAAAATCAACCATTTCCAAGATAATTCTGAATAGAAAAAATAGTAAGAGAAAGATAAATAAAAACAGAGAATTTAAGTTAAACTGAAAATGGGATTTTCCCTTTTATCTCATAGAGATGATGTAAAGAGGATGGAAAAGGGATGAAGGTTAAAGGAGGAGTTAATCTCCTGATAAATTACACAGATTAACATTCTTACCATGATGAAGGTCGGTTTTCCTGGAAAACTTTTCATTTGAAAATCATTTATTCTTTCAATTTGGTTCCGTTCACTTCGCCTTTTTGGTTTCGTCTCTTCGACTTATCATCAGTTATTTCGATTCTCAATTAACTCATTGATCTTTGTCAATTTATTTAAATCGAGATCTCATCTTTAGAATTAAAGGTAATTCTCTTTGTTTCCTTCTCTTTGTGTTGCTCCTTTGTTCCTTCTATTTCTCTTTCTTTTTCTTTATCTTTCTGTCTTTTTTCTTCGATCATTTTATGGTTTTCTCTTTTTCGAATTTTTGATTTTCTTCTTTTTCTCCCTTTTTTAATTGATTTTAATTCAATTTTTTTATCGTTTTTGTTTTTCTTTTCAAGACTATCATGGCTAAACCTGCAATCTCTACCTCCATATCATTCAACAATGGTTTGAAAGTTCCTCTTTTCGGTCTTGGTACCTGGAAATCCAAGCCTGGTGAAGTTAAAGAAGCTGTTAAACATGCACTTTTGGAAGCTGGTTACCGGCACATTGATTGTGCTTTGGTTTACCAAAACGAAGATGAAGTTGGCCAAGCTTTAAAGGAAGTTTTCGACTCTGGAGCTCTTAAACGTGAAGATGTTTTCATTACATCAAAATGTTGGAATACTTTCCATTCCCGTGCCAAAGTTATGGAAGCTGTTAAAAAGACTTTAACTAGTCTTGGTCTAGAATATTTAGACCTTTATTTAGTCCATTCGTCAATGGGTTTCAGAGAAGGTGATGAACTTTTCCCCAAAAATGAAGCCGGTAAAATGATTTACTCTGATATTGATATCGTTGAAACCTGGCAAGGTATGGAAGACGTTCACAAAGCTGGATTAGCTAAATCAATTGGTGTGTCCAATTTCAATTCTGAGCAAATTGCAAAGATTCTTGCCAATTGTACAATTAAACCAGTTAACAATCAAGTTGAAGTTCATCCTTACCTTTCTCAGGTTGAATTGGTTGAATTCTGTAAGAAACATGACATCACTGTTACTGCTTACAGTCCACTTGGATCACCAGATCGACCCTGGGCTAAGCCTGAAGATCCATCTCTTTTTGAAGAACCAGAGATCAAGAAAATTGCCGAAGCCCATAACAAAACTCCAGCTCAAGTTTTACTTCGATTTGGTGTCCAACGAAACCTCATCACTATCCCAAAAAGTGTTACACCCGCTCGAATAGCTGAAAATATTCAAGTTTTTGATTTCGAGCTTTCTGAAGACGAAATGAAAACCATTTACAGTTTCAACAAAAATTGGCGAGCTTGTGGAAGAGAAGCAGATGTCGATCATCCACTTTATCCTTTCAAAATCCCATTCTAAATAAGTTAAACCAACTAAATCCATGATTACAACTGTAAAGAAAATCTTTAATTGTTATTAAATCTTGGAAAACTTATCACATTATAATCAAATAAAATGGGAAACTTGAAATTCATTAAAACATGACTATTGTCACATTAAGCCCGACAGTTAAACTTTTGATTACCAATGATTAATTTCAACCCTGTTTATCATAGTCTAGACAATTAATTGCATAATAAATTTCATTCGCATGCAGATGCACTCCAAATTGTAATAAAAACTTAAGGTTAATTAAAGATTAATTAATCTTTAATTTATAACGATGATCACCTTCATTCGAATTTCAGAATTTAATCTTTTTATGCCTTTTCTCAGGCCTTTCATCTCTCTGCACCTTGAAAAATCCCTTTCGGACGTGCAATTTATTAAATTCAAAACGTAAGTCCTAAAGGGTGGATGTTTTAAAACACTTAGAGGTTTATTGGATTTTCATTAATTTATTTAGAAATTAGAGATAAAAATTAGCATCAACACCATCTCTTAGAAATTCAATTAAACAAAAAACAAAAATTTAATTTCATAACAAGTTGGATAACAAAGAAAAATGGGCTGTTGAGTAACTAATTGGACAATTAATTTTAGGAACAATTAATAAGTTTTTGGTAATTTTTAATTAGAAATTAACTATTACTGGTCGATTACCAGTTTTCTACTAACTATCTTTTTCATTACATTTAATTAATACAGGTTATATCGTAAGATATAACCATGGGAACAGATAATTTTCAAGAGTTTTGTTTATTGCAAAAGTATCAGGATCTCTACGAGTGATCAAGATTACTTCATTACAGTTCCGTCGGCTTATTCATTACAAGTCCCTGGGAATGATAGAGGAGCATTCCAATCACCTTCAGTTGATGCTTTCATTGGTGGTAGTTGAAAACTCTCTTTCTTAGTTTTTCTTCTCTTTCTTCCAGTAGTTCCCTCATTTTGTTTCAATCTGCGTGAATGATGTTGAAGTTCTGGTTTTCCTTAAAGTGATGTTGATTGATCCTGAGATGACCATGACGATGAAGAGGAACATGGTGCATTTAGTATTTGAAGGAATTTGTTTTCTTCTTTCCAGTCTTCGAAATTCTTATTTCCCTTTACGAAAGATGAGACTTCATCTGAGTCAGGAATGAGTTGTCCTTCATTTATTAGGCTTAAATACTTCCTATACAGTTTGATAGTGAAGCAAGCATCAAGAGCAGGGTTGTGACCATTTAGCGGGTTATCGCCTTCTCTCTTTAATCCATTTGAGGAGGGGAAATAGAATTTTACCAACTTTAATAAGGCAGAACCATGAATTGAATAGGTGTTGTACATTTACCATCTCGATTGACCATTCATTCAGATCGGCTTATGATATACCAAGTTTTTGTAGTTCTTTATCATGCGAGTCAAATATTAGAATTCTTTTTTCTGCACAGGCTAAAAGGATATTCTTTTTGATCTCTTCGAGTGGTTTACCATTTTTAATTTGTTGTGCTTGGACACTGGAAATGGGAGTGGTAAGGTAATCAATATCATTAGTTTTCACATAATCACTGTAAATGACTTGAGCGCCTAAAGATCGACTGGTGAACCAAGCAGAGAGGGCATTTCCATTTTTGGATAAACCTTCGGTATCGATGGATAGAGTCTTCTTGAGATTATTTTCTGGTCCGATTGGTGTCAATTTTTCAAGTATCTTAAAGTCGAGTGTACCAGTATTCTTCCAGAATATCGGGTGTTCTTTTCTGTCCTTCTGTCGGTGATCAAAGCGCTTTGGATCGGAAACTACAAGGTTGACTCTTGGCGGTTCTATTTTGTCTTTCTTTAACCAGGGACAATTTGCGATGAGGTGATCACCTTCCAAACAAGCAGCACAAAAGGTACAGGTCTTTTCTGAATGACTATGACGAAAACAGATACTACAATGATCTTCTCGAATTCTGCCCTTCACTGGACAATTTCTCAAGAGTCTCATTAGTTGTAAATAACCTCGTTTCAAATTATCATCAGAAGTAGCTGAGATAGTTATTTTAGCGTGTAATCGATTTTCTAACTGAGTACATTGGAATCTATGTCGTGGATCATTTAGTTCAACGGGTGAGATCGGAACACCATAAGAATTGAAGGTTTTTTTCAAGTAACACGTTAATATGAGTAAATTTAATATGAATTTAAAGGGAGAGCTATCACCAGACATCTAATAGGAGAGGGAGAAATAAAGAATAAAATATAAAATTTTGGTGCGAATAATTGGTTGAGTGGAACATAATCTGTTTCAGAATTTTGTTTTTCTTTCTTGGCTTTTCCTTCATCATTTTTCAGAGTAACAGGTTCAGTTGACATTGAGTAAACAGTTGGATTTTGACTGAGGATCATTTTGATGATCTTGAGAAACAACATGATGAGAATTGAAAAGGCGATTAATCCGAGGAAAAAGTTGAAAAGTTCTCGCTTCAAGGACATGAACCAAGGTTCGTTACTTTGTTGTTGAACTTTTCTAACTGCTTTTTCTAGCATTTCTAATTTTTCTGGTTCCAAATTAATATGTTCATCAATCATAAGGAGATAACTGCCAATTGATTGAGGTTGACCAAGAGGTCACATCCTTTTCATCGATTAGAGTTAATTCTGTGGGGGTGTAGGAAGTGTCACCAATTCGAAAGAACATCGATCTCGAAATTTTTAGAACCTGGTTCGGTCTTGTTATATTCAATATCGTGAGATTGTGACCGCGACAATAAACATAAAAATCTTCATTTACCCTTTAGTTTGTGGTTTTCTTATTTTATAGTTATTTGGTGAAATTTCCATGCAATCAGAAAGTTTCCATAGTCCCGTCTCAGGGACCTTACGACAGAATTGGCCGGTATTGAAGTTTAATTTCTTGGACTCGAAGTCTTCTTGATCAACTTCACATATTTCTGGGGGTTGTGATGTTTCATTGGTTAGGATGAACTTTGGACCAACATAATTTTTGACACAGATTTCGGTTCCATTCTTCTCTTCAATTAGTGTGAATGGATCGGCTTTATGGATTAATAGATGGTTCGCATAGATATCAACTCGAGGTAATTCAACAAGCTAATTCGACTTGGAAAAATTTGATCAAACTCTCTGGTATTTTATTTCCTTTTTCCATTTCTACTCGAGTTTCTCTTAGTATCTCATTTATTCTCTGTGTTTGATAAAAAACTGTAGCTGATTGTAGAGCAGTAACAGGGATCATCTCTTCCAGATCATCTAAGCGAGCGTGAGTGGATTGAACTTGGTCAGTAATTTTTTTTAAACTTTCTTGATGTATGTTAAGAACTTCAAAAGTGAGATTTGTCGACTGAGACAATAGATTATCGTCTTTTTATTTATAAATCCAGTCCTTGATTTTTCCAAATCCAATAACGGCTAGGGATCCAATTAAAAGAGTTGTGGTAAGTTCACGTTTTTCTTTTTTCACGTTGACTGCATTTGATCCAAAAATGGAACGTGATATGTGTACGTCAACATAATTTTCACAGTGTTTCCGTGCTAATTCGAATACATCTTCTTTATTGTAGGGTAGACGATCACAATACGGCTTCAAATGCTGTTCACAATGCGATGCCGCTTGTCTGACACGTTCAAGACAAGTGAATTTGTTTACTAGTCCAGGAACATGTCTTATTTCACATGGATAATTTGTGGTTCTTATTTCCACGTGAACTGGTGGTTTTATTTGTAAGCAAGGATTCTGTATTATTATTGTATAATTTATATTTCGACGGCCAGTTATTATCTTGTGCTTAGTGACTCTCCAAACTACATCGGCACCATACTCAGTACCAGCTACAAGACTTAACAAGAATAAAATCATCATCATAGTAAAATTTCGACCAAGATGAGATGGTGATAGAGAACGTGATCTGGTTGGTTCTCTAGGATTGAATTTCGACAGTTGAGAGGCATGGGCTTGGAATTCTAGAGTGCTCGAGTCGTTTTTAATTCGATAGGTTGTCTCACCTATCTTGGTGATGACAGTGAATGGGCCTTCCTTCTTTGTGTCTAATTTATCACTTCGAAGAGTTTTAGTGTATAAAGCTTGATCACCAACATCAAAGGTAATTAATTTTGATTTTGAATCGTGATAAATTGTTTGTTTTTCTTTCGCTTCGCGAGAGAAAATTTTCGATTGATCACGAATCTTTTTCCATTCATTGATGATGAATCCAGTGTATTCATTGATGTTCATTTGATCATTTTGTGGTGATAATTGGATGTCAATAGGGAAATTTGGTTCTCGTCCATAGATCAGATAAAATGGGGAAGATTTAGTGCTGCTATTGGTTGCGGTGTTGTAAGCGAAGGTGATGAGAGGTAACATTTGTGTCCATTTGGATTTGTTTTCCGAGCAATAATGAATTAACATTTGACAGAGTGTTCGGTTTACTCTTTCAGTTAGGCTATTCTTTACTATACCCCTTCTTTCAAATCGTCTCGAAATTCTTTCTGTGTATAGCTTGCGAAATAGTCTACGCATGTGTGAAATTTTTTTACGGAAACTACTGTGGGCGGAGTTATAGCCATTTAAAAACTCAAAATCCTTAAGGAGTCTATGGGACGTTTCAACTTTGCGAAAATTAGAATTAAATGAAAGTGGGAGGGGCTTAAATGATAAAATTTTTTTCACCTATACAGTTGACTATGAACATCCTATATATCAACTTTTAGCCGAATTCGATATTAGCAACAGTACTTAGACTAGGTCAAAAATAGTCAAAACTGTTATTTGTATATATGTAATGACAGACTATTCAGATCAACTTGCAATTTGACCAGAATATTTTTCAAGGTCGAAATAATTGTCAAGGTCATTTTAGTCAAGATCGCTGCAACTAATTTTGCTGTGATTTTTAACCCATAGATGATGCTAGAAATACTTTAGTTCAACTTAATAGCACTAGATGGCCGCACGCTCAGGCTTTTGCCGAAGTACCTTAATGTGACAAAATTTGATGAAACAATTTTACAGGTTTCGTTTACCCATACCCTTCCATACCAAGACTAGTGCATCTACGCAAAGCCGATTTAAAGTATAGGGATGATAAAACAGCACACCACGAGAGTACAAGCAAATTTTTTTGCCCCTCCCCTCCCCCAAAGTGGGTGTGGCCGCTAGCGGCGGGGGGAGGGGCAAAAAAATTTGCCGCGCGTGCATACATGTTTAAGTGGTATACCTTTGTTGAACTACTTTCAACAAGTGATGCCAGAGCCCTGTTAGCATTAACCAGCTAGTACCACGAGGAG